CTGTATACATAAAAAATAATTAAAAATAAAATTTTCGGGTGTTTTTTTTTTTTTTTTTTTTTTTTTTTAGGAAGGAACTATAAATTCAAAGATACAAACAAAAGGATGGAAAGATGATTTAAATATCTGGTAATTTATATTTCAGATATATTATGTGCCAATATGGAATTACAGGGAAGGTAAAATAGCTATGTGAATATCAGACAGAGAATAGACTTTAAAACAAGAAAAAATGTTACTTGAGATAAAAAAGGATACATCATAATGATAAAGAGTCAACTCAGAAGGAACATATAACAATTATAAGCATATATATAACAATAAAGCATGCAAATTCACAAAGCAACAACTATAAGAAATAGAGAAACAGACATTTAGTAACAGTAGCACCCACTTCCCATAATGGCAGAACAAGTTGAGGGGAAACAAAGAAAGAAGTCTCTCTCTCTTGAGACAGGGTTTCTCTTTGTAGTGCTGGTCATACCGGTTCTCATTCTGCAGATGAGACTGGCCTCAAACTCAAATTCAGAGATCCACCTGCCTCTGCCCCCTCAGAGGTGGGATTAAAGGCATGTGTCACCATGCCCAGCTACCCCAATACATTCTTTGTTTGTTTGTTTTTTGAGACAAGGTTTCTTTGTGTAGCCTTGGCTGTCCTGGAACTAATTCTGTAGACCAGGCTGGCCTCGAACTTACAGAGATCTGCCTGCCCCTGCCTCTCAAGTGCTGGAATTAAAGGCCGCCACCACTTGGCACGATAAAAGTTTTTGAGGGGACAAATAATATCCACACTATAGCAACAAGGAAATGGTTGCTCCCCAGAGGTGGAAGGTGTCCCTTTGCAGAAGACAGCATGCACTTCAGATATAGGGCCCAGAGGAGCTGAGTCGGATCTGTCCTAAAAGCCTCCTACAAGGACTAGTTTTCATGAATCAGAAAGTGTCATGCAAGATTCCAAGGGTGAGAATAAAATAGTCTTATCCAGCTTCAACATCTGTGAAACACAACTAGCAAGGAACAATAACCCTAAGGGAGCAATAGTGGCATGTATACCTTGGTGGTAACCAACAGCTCTCTAACTGGAATTAAAGCCTGATCAACAAAGGGGAAATTGTGCCTGAGACTAGAAACCTAGGCAACTACTGAGGGCCAGTGAAGTCAAGCATCTTAGAGGAGAACCTACAACTGTCACTTAACTAATTCTAAATATTTATACCCACAGGCAAGTGTAGTTCTTGACAGAGGGCCTTGGTTGTAAACACAGAATTCCTATGAGGGTACAGCTGGCCTTGCTTAAACCATTATCGATGAGCCACAGAGAGGAAATGTTTTGCTGAGACTGCCAAGATAGGTTGTGGCCATTGAGGGAGGGAGAGGGTACAGTCACATAGCCCCCCTGAAGCTTCACTATCTTCCTCATTCTCAAGCCTCTATTTAAACTCCCAAGTATTCGCTTTCCTCCTCTCAGATACCTCTTTCCTGTGGGAGAGTGTCTGTCCTTTGTTGTTTGAAATGAACAGTTTCACTGGTTGAGGTCAGACTCTGGCCCCTTTCTACCTTCTTTCTCTTTACTCTGAAATCTAACAGTTCTCACCCGGCATCAAAGAAACCTCTTTTAGCAACAGACAAAACCGTTACAGAAGATTGCAACTGACCAAAATGCAGAGAACATGAGATTGTGTGGTGCCCAGTCCCAACTGACACACTGATAACACAATTCCTATACCTTAGGTTCAGGGATCACTGCGGAAGGCAGAAAGATTGTATGTGCAAGAGGAGCAGGTATTTTGTTGTGAGATTGTGTCTCTTAGAAATGCTAGTCAGGCTACACCCATGAAGTTTCATCAATATGGCTGTCTAGACAAAACCTGAACAACAATGGCACCAATGGAAATGCTAACCCAGAAGGGGGAAAGCTCACAGGGCCTCAACCCTAGACAAGAAACTATATGCAACTGGGAAATGTTGAGAGTGGGAGAGATGGTTTTTCTCAGGGAAGAGTCCAAATGGTTATTCAAAACCAAGTGGTCAGCTCTGAGATCCTATACATGCAAGTAACATATATGGACTGAGCAGGTTGTATTTCTTCATTTAGGAATATATATGTATACGCAATACATACATACATACATACATATGTATATAAACATATGTACATATGTAACAATAAAAGAAAAACAAGACATGATTTAAGAGAAAGCAAGGAAGGTACAACGGAGGGGTTGGAGGGAGCAAAAGGATTCAGCAGTAATGAAATTATAACTTCCAAAAAACATAAAAATTATTAGAAAAAAGCCAAGGCTATTACAGAATAGTTGATGGATGCCTCCCCAGATAACCTATTCGTGGATACATGAACAAATGGAGAGAAGGAGCCATGAAATATTTGTGAAAAGAACGTTCTGAGTAGCAGCTATGACAGATGCAAAGGTTTCAAGTCTGGAACATTAATCAGAAGCCCTGGGACTGGATGTCAGGATAAGGCCAGAGTGTGTATGAAGAACAAACAGTTCCTCAATTAGGACACTAGTATAGTTGTTCAGGTTAGAGAAAAAAATGCAATGATTTAAAAATTTGGGCGAGGAGGCATAAATTGTTTACACTGAATCTCCATTGGCTGTCAATGGGGGCGGGGGGGATGATGCAAAAGTGCCTGTGGCAGGAAGACTGTGGCAGGATAGGATGCTAACTCCTAAGAAATAAGTGCTGTTTCTGGTTTGGGCTAATAGTGCAGAAAGTATACACCTAACTGGGTAATCTGGCCTCGGTGGAATGCTGTGTGTGCCTTTAAGTCAAGCTTTCAACATAGATACTTTTGGCTAACTTACTAGTTTATCTCCCCTACTACAACCTCTCACCTTAGCTGTGGAACCTGATGCCAGGTTGATTTAGGTTATCAACAGTATCAGCTGGAGAGTGAAAGTTAGATAAAGGCAGTGGTTTGGGATTTGAACCCCAAATTGGTTAGTTTTCATATGAATGGCAGCTTCACTGGTGAGTTGTTCATTAGCTAGCTCTGAAAAGACAATTTCTCCAAGGTGGGCAAGACCCCCAAATGCCCAAACACCATAAATACAGAAACAAAACACAGATAATCCCCTCTTTCAATTTAAAATTTAAAACTTGCTGGGCAGTGGTGGCGCACGCCTTTACTCCCAGTAATCCAGAGACAGAGGCAGGTGGATCTTTGAGTTTCAGGTCTGTGTGTCCATAGAATGAGTTCTAGGACAACCAGGACTACAAAGAGAAACATAGTCCGGGGGAGAGAGGGAGGGATTAAAATTCAATTATGTTAATTCCCCTCTAACTCTAGATTCCCCTCCAGGTAAGAACATCTTAAATCCAAACAAGTTCTCAAAAGACAGCAGTAGAGTAACATACACTCACAACAAACAAATAAAATAAAGGCATTAAACGCAAACAGGTGACTAAGAATGACACAAATTGAATTCTGTATTAATGTACATCAATAATTGCGTATCATTTTTCTTTTTTAATTTAGGAAGAAAGGAAAACACACACACATCAAACACCTCATCACCCAAGCCACCCATACACTAAGAAACGGCCAGAAAAGGCCAAAAGAACCCGGACTGATTTAAAACAGCTCGTTTTAAATATAACACACAAAAGGTTACATTTCCAACTTGAGCTGCGATTTTCACACAAAAATCGGAACCAAGGTCTATTGGGTTAAAGTGGCAATCCAATACCACATTACCAGACGTTTTCTATAGAATACAAATTAGGTTGTATAATCCACAGGGGGAAATTCCACAATCTATCTAGTCTAGGAAGATTTCATCTTTACCACTGGACCTAAGTTTGGCTCTAAAAGGATCCTTTGTTTCACACCCAAGTTTGGCTCCCACGTACAGCATCACCGAGCTGGAGTGATGAAAACTGAACGCACTCCACTTGCCTCCCAGGCCAACCTCTGATTCCAGACACCTAGTCATGCAAGGGTCCTGTCTGCAACACACATCTTCTCTATCCCTTTCCGCAGACAGTCCCTCGAGGCGCCACGGAGCAGCAGACAGGAAATGGGGCTGGAGCCCCTCCAATCCCAACCCCCCCCTGCTAGGAGCCTCGGGCGGGGTCTCGGGGCCCCGCCTGTCCCGGTTCCCTGGCCCGGGGCTGACAGGCGGGGCACATCGAGGCAGGATGGTCCTCGCGTGTGGTCACTGGAGAAGGGGAGGCGGCGGGCGAGCCTGGCAACCCCGACTCCGCACTCGCCACGTCAGGCCGTACCTGGCTTGTAGCGTCGCTGGCCGCGGCACTCAGGAGGCGGAACCCAGGGCCGGGGTCCGAGCTGGGCTCGGCCTCTCTCTCGGACCTCACCGGCAGCAGCCACCCCGCCCGAGCCTCTCCTGATTGGCTCCTTGCGAGTTTGCTTCCGGGTGAGAGGTCGCCCGGTCGCCCCAGCAACCGAGCCCCGCTCTGTCCTAGCGCCCATCTGCCTCCGAGGCTGCAGAGCTGGCGAGCCAGGGCGAATCGCAGAGTCGTGACAGTCTGACCTACCCGTCCCCGTCAAGTGAGTGCGTCTCCTCCAAGGCCGCTGGGGTGGGTCCGGAGCCAGCCGCCGCGGCCACACCGGGGCGGAGGGGCTCCGACCTCCCGGCATCTGGGCCTCCGGGGCTGGCTGTCCGGACTTGTTTCCTTGACGGACGCCAGACCATAGCAATCCCAGAGGTTCCTTGCTAGCTCACCTAATCCGGGATATGGAAATGTCACCCCTTTATTTAGAGAAGATTTTAGTAGTTTCTGTGATCAGACGCACATAGATAGATAAAGCCGTACATATGTAATACACCGCAGTTACCCCTGTACAAATGGAAAAGAAATTAAGTTTAAAGTTTCTAGACTAAGCCAGGTGGTGATGGCAAACGCCTTTAATCCCAGCACCCTGGAGGCAGAGGCAGGCGGATCTCTGTGAGTTCGAGACCAGCCTGATCTACAAGAGCTAGTTCCAGGACAGCCTCCAAAGCCACAGAGAAACCCAATCTCAAAAACAAAAAAAACAAAACACAAAACAACAAACAAAAAGTTTCTAGACTAATATGGTTACTGATTTCTGCCAACGCAACACGGTAAAATGGGTACTCCCCGCTCCCCAAGTTGAAAGCACAGCTGAAGTTTTCAAAAATTCCAATTATACTTGTATATATCTTTACATAAATCTATTTATAAATATATATAAAGGCAAATAGCACTATGTTATGCATCGATAATAACAGCAGCTTTTCCAGGTGTTGAAGTCATCTGAACAAAATTGTAGACGTCCAGCATCACCTTAAAAACAGAAAAAGACAAACAAACAAAAACCACCAAACAACCAGAAAACAGCACAGGTTTGTTACTGCTAGGGTACCAGCACCAAGTTTTTTGTTTGTTTTGTTTTGGTTTGGTTTTTTTTTTAGCTTCTCAGTCATCATCTGTAAAGAAAACATTCTGAGTAATATCATTAAAACTATCTTGGACATATGGCCGGGACCTTTAATCCCAGCACAGGGTGGGCAGAGGCAGATGTATCTCTGTGAGTTGGAGACCAGCCTGGTCTACAATAGCAAGTTCCAGGACAGCCTCCAAAGCCACAGAGAAACCCTGTCTCAAAAACAAACAAACAAAAACAAAAAATTATCTTGGACAAAGCTACTATTACCTATCATAAAGCAGGAATAAGATATTTTTACTTTCACAAAAGTATGATACATTGCTGGCCCACATTGTAACACTAGAGAACATAAAAGAAGGCATTTGAGACTTGATTACGCTTTTCCAGCAGAGGGCCTAAAGGATGGTGTGACAAAGATCGGGAAAGCAATGTGCTCTATTAGATGGTCTTTCCTTTCAGTGGCAGCCCAGTACAAAGCCTTCCTTTCTCATGAATATCAGCCAAAAGCCATCATTAAAAGCACACACAGACACACACACACACACACACACACACACACACACACACACACACACACACAGGAAAATGTCCCCCCAAATAAAATTGCACAAGACTGGACTCATAAAACTGCTCAAGACATAGAAACCTGAAGAGAAGCTGAGGGCTGCTTGCTCAGTTTCTTGTGTGATCAATTGTATTTAGTAGTGTCCTGCTTAAGAGGAGCTTAATGGTTGTGTCTCAAGGGCCATTCATCCCCTAAATAGGCATTTTCTGTTAGTACCCAATATTGAGGGGGGTGGTGGGTGAGAAAAGAAATTTAACTGATCCATGGTCACTGTTTTACTTGAATCGAGTGTGATAGGAGACCAGACACAAAAGCAATGATTTAATAGGACCCTACGTTCTGAGAATAGAAGTGATTAGGAGAGAGAAGAAATAAGAAATACTTTGGGAGAGAGGCCTTATCTGAGCTAAGGCGACAGAATAACACTATGTAGACTCTACAGAGTTAGACACTAGCCTTCATGACTTACATAGTAGGTTCATCCATTTAGTAAAGATGAGGATTGAGATGTAAGCCATTTGCCTTAGGCCAGAGAAAATAATGGAGTCTAGGTAGTCTAATGTCAGAGCATGGACTACTGTATTCTGTTTCCAGCTCCAGAATGAGTGGTAGTTTGTCAGCCAAAGAAGACATGCCTGCTTCAGGGAGAGTCCAGCATGGCTCCCCATGGGCACTGCAAGCAGAACTGGTAATCTGATAAGCATTGTTGAACACTTAGAAAGCAGTCTTGTGCCTCTGTCCCTTTCCCAACTTCATATTTTGAAAATGTCTGTATGTTTCCTGTTGAGAGCTGGACTGATCCAAGGCTTTTCCTGAGGCTCTTTTTTTTTTTAAAGATTTATTTATTTATTTATTTATTTATTATGTATACAACATTCTGCTTCCATGTATATCTGCACACCAGAGGAGGGCACCAGATCTCATAATGGATGGTTGTGAGCCACCATGTGGTTGCTGGGAATTGAACTCAGGACCTCTGAAAGAGCAGCCAGTGCTCTTAACCTCTGAGCCGTCTCTCTAGCCCCTCCTGAGGCTTTTGATGTATGAACATGGCTCCTCAAAACTGGGGGTTGGGGGCATTCTTGGCAGAGCCAGTAATAGCCTAGGGCCAGGACTCTGGGAGCTTTCCCCTGAGGCTCTGATGTATAAAGACAGAAGACAGTGCCTTCTCTAAAACTGGGAACATGCTTGGCAGAGCGGGTAATGACCTGGGATGGGGTCCTGGGGGAGCTGTGGCTTTGGAGCAAGAACCCAACTCTTTCCATCCTAAGGGGCTGTGGTTATCACAGCCAAGGCCATATTCTGAACAATTCAAAAACAATAGTATCTGGGGCTGCAGAGATGGCTCAGTGGTTAAGAGCACCTGTTGCTCTTGCAGAGGACCTGGTTCAATTCCCAACACCTACACGGTGGCTCACACCATCTGTAAGTCCAGTTCCAGGAGATCTTATACCCTTTTCTGAGTTCTGAGGAACCAGGTGTGCATATGGCACACATACATGCATGCAGGCAAAACACCCATACACGTAAAGTAAATAAATCTTTAAAAAAATGTCTACTGTTTTTGTAGAGGAGCTGGGTTCAAATCTCAGCATCCACACAGTAACTCACAGCCATCTGTAACTCTGGTTCTAGGGGATCTTTTGCTCTCTTCTGACTTCTAAGGGCACCAAGCAGAGATATGATGCACACACATATATTTAGGCAAAACATTCATACACATAAAACAAAAACACATTTTTTCCTTTTTTCCTTTCTTTCTTTCAAGACAAGGTCTACTTAGTGAGTTCCATCCAGTTCGGGATTACATTAGTGAGATCCTGTTCCCATCAAAAATGAATTTTATACTAATAAGATTTTAAAAATAAAAATAGATCATCTATGCAAAATTACTTATTTTCTCAGGACCTTACACCAGACAGTGGAAATGCCAGTCAGGAGGTGCTTGCACCTGTGTGAAGAGAAGTTACCTATATAGTGCTGAAAGCACATTTATTATAGGTTTTGTGACATTAAAATCTTTAAACTCACCCTTACTTTCTTTAATCTCTTAAAGCATCTTCAGAAGTATATAAGATAAAGTTTATATTTCCAAATGGCGACAAGTATGGTAAGCATGCATTTCAATTACCTTTCCTTCAGGAAATTCAATAATTTAGAATTTTAAAAGCAAGACTAACTCATTTTATAAAACTGTTATTGGCATATTATCATTTATCTTCAATGAAATAACAGACATCCTAATAGATGCATCGATATTTAAATCAAAACTGTTACATCTAGACAAGATGCCTTAGAAACCCATGGAATCTGTCTTCCATTCTGGCCCCTAGTTTTAGTCCCATGAAGCTGGAAAACCCAGGACCAAATGAAACCCACACATGGGGTGGGGGCTGGTTGTGAATAGGCTTTGATGTAACTATTACACTAGTTCATGCCCCCCATTTCAAAGCTTCAGCAGGCTCCCTCCCTTCCTCGTTAGATGGTGACTGTACAAGAACACCTGCTGGGAGCTATGAGAGAAACGGGACAGGCATCCACACCACTCCTGATGGGATCATATACACAGGGAGCTGGAAAGATGACAAGGTAATGTTATTGTCGTTAATTCTGCTAGGGGATGAATGGTCCTATGTGTTAAATGATTCTGAGCATTTCATTATTAGTAAAGCTAGTTTAGCAACTCATAGTTGTAATGGCATTGTGTAGGAGACTAAGGTGTGAGGGTCTCAGGTTCTTGTTCTGTGTAGCGAGACCTGTGCTTAAATTAGACTCTATAATGGAGATAAATAGTTTTTCTTAGCATCTGTTATTCTATACATGATGTTAAGCTCATGAAGAGAGGCAGCATTATTATTATCTTTCTCAGCTCCCATTCATTGAGTAAGACCAAATACATTAATTTTTTTCCACTTAATCTTGACATCCTCCATAAGATGGGTTCCATTAATTCTCCTTTTTTATAGAAGGGACATGTCAGACTCAGGTTTCTTGTACAGATGGTAAAGTAGGAATGTGTGTCCAGCTCTACTTGAATACAAATTCACATTTAAAAATTCATTACATCTGTGTATCTATGTGTGAGTTACACAGCATATGTGAGATGGTTCACTTCACCATATGAGTGCCTGGGATCAAACCTGGCTTGTCAAGCTTGAGCAAGCATGCTTACTCACTGAACCATCTAGCTTTTCACTCTAAACTCAGGTCCTCATGTTATGTGGTAGGCATTTTTCCCACTTAGCCATCACTCTACCCCAAATTCACATTATTATTATTATTATTATTATTATTATTATTATTATTATTATTTTGTTTTGTGTTTTTCAAGACAGGTTGGTTTTGTGTGTGTGTGCGCGCGTGCGTGCGTGCGTGCGTGTGTGTGCGTGCTTGCACGCACGTGTGTGTGTGTGTGTGTGTGTGTGTGTGTGTGTGTGTGTGTGTGTGTGTGGTCTTGATTGTCCTTCACTCTGTAGGCCAGGCTGCCTCTGCTTCCCTAGTGCTGTGATTAGAGGTGTGCGCCACCACTGCCAGGCCAAATTCACATTCTTGACCGCTCTGTACTGTTTTCTGAAGTGGCGACACTAGTTGTTCTTTAACTCTTCTGATGTACTTAGGTATCTTGAGGATCCTGATTATCATCATCTTGGTCCCCCAAATGTTCAGATAGTCTAGATCCAGAACATTCGAGTTAGTAGGCTTCACAGAAAGAATAACAGTAAATAAGAACATTGGTAAATAAATAAGGGGAAGAATAAGGCTGAAAACACCTACGTTTGTGGCAGCAAGGGGTGATACAAAGATGATAATGGTAATGTTACTGATAGGCCTGTGTGTATAGTGAAGGCTGGTTTCTGAGTTTTCCCTTTCTTACAAACAGATGAATGGCTTTGGAAGACTTGAGCATTTTTCAGGAGCTGTGTATGAAGGACAATTTAAGAACAACATGTTTCATGGACTGGGGACTTACACATTCCCAACTGGGGCAAAGTACACCGGGAATTTCAATGAAAATAGGTAACCTGAGAATTTAAGAACAACTACAATTCTAAAAGAATCTCTTTAGTTGTGCTTGGTAAATAGTGTATTTAATTAATGCTAAATAATCTTTGTGACATATTTGATCTCCACAAAATGCTGAGTTATTTTAGTGTTTGGGGAATGTAAGATGGGAAGCTCTGATCATTATAGCTTTCCAAAATGGAATATTATTTTTTGTAAAGATTATTGGACACCCCACCCTGCCAGACAGAGACGGGGTTTCTCTGTATATCCCTGGCTATCCCAGAACTCACTCTGTAGACCAGGATGGCCTCAAACTGAGATCCACCTAACTCTGCCTCCCAAGTGCTAGCAGTAAAGGCATGTGCCACCATACCTGACTGATTATTATACTTTTTTTGTTTGTTTTTTCAAGACAGGATTTCTCTGTGTAGCCCTGGCTGGTCTAGAACTGATCTATAGACCAGGCTGACCTCGAACTCACCGAGATCCTCCTGCCTCTGCCTCCCAAGTGCTGGGATTAAAGGTGTGCGCCACCACCCGGCTTTGATTATTAGATTTTAACATACCCTCTGTGGTCTCTGTTAGTGTAGAGTGAGTGGAAAATGTGTTAATCTTGAGCAAATTTAGCCCAAGAATAATTTTTAACTTAAAGTATCTCAATTTGTATTTGTGAAAAAGCAGGGCTGTGGTTAATTTCATAATGATTTATTTCATTCTGACCTGATGTGCTCGAGCATTTTTATTAAGCTAATTTTAAAGTTTAAGCAAAATTAGGTGATGTTAAAACTAGAAAGGTACCTAAGTACCTTCTGTTATCATCTCTGAGCACATGACTGAAGGGAGAGAAGTGAAACGAGCACAGACAGAGCTTTATAAACTGAATCTCACTGAAAACCATGCCACCGGAAAGTTGAGCTTAGTGGTAATGTGCTTGTGTAGCAAGCATGAAGCTTTAGGTTCAAACCCTAACACCACAGAAAATCGGTCATGGTGCACGTTCCTATAATCCTAGCACCTGAGAGTTGAATGTGGAGGCTCAGAAGTTCAGTGTCAGCTATGACTCTATAGAGAATTTGAGGCCAACCTGGGCTACATGAGACTCTGTATCAAAAAGGAAATAAAGTTCATTTATAAATATCCCTTTCATATACTTAAAAATGAAAATTCTACCTAATTGTTATGAAGTCAGTGTGGACACATTTCTAAGTGGATAGAACGATATTCACCTCTTTTGACTCCAGGTTTATAACAAAGACACACAAACTGCTTCCATTGATATTAATAAAAGGAGAAAAAACCCAATGGTTTGCATATATGAGTATGTCTGGTGGGGCCAAAAGAACACCGCACACCCACAGCACTGGGGACAGAGTTGGCGATGCAGAGACATTTGTTAAATAAATGAATGTTGGGGTTGAGCCAGATAACCAATACAGTTTTCAAGTTTGAGCTGATTGTTTGGTTTTATGAAAAGTTAGTTTATCTGACCTGAAACTGTGAGCACCAAAATGTGCATAGGAACAGTGTTTGTTTGAAATAGTGTGTTTTCCTAGCATATGATCGCAGGGCACCGGTTCTCAATAGATAGTTGGAAGCAGAAAGGTAAAATGCCTTAGACAGGGTGTGTATATAGTATACCAGGCCAACTAGCTTGTGTCTGGATGGTAAATGACCAGTCCTAATTAATGAGCAAGCTCGCTTGTCACTTTTGCAGGGTAGAAGGTGAGGGAGAGTACACTGATATCCAAGGCCTGCAGTGGAGTGGGAGCTTCCACTTCACAGCTGCTCCTGGCCTCAGACTAAAGCTCTACATGTAGACATGCTGTGTTAATGCCAAAGTGTGGCCACTGCAACTCCCCTGCAGGCAAAGCAACTAACCCTTCAACTGAAATGGCCTGCATCCCTCTGTAAGTTCACCAATAAAACTGTCACTCACTTATGCTTTTGTGAATTTGTGTGTGCACGTGTGTGTGTAATTTCTGTGCATATGTGTGAATATATGCTTGTTCATGTGTGTGAGTGTGTGTGTGTGTGTCCGTCCGTGTCCGAGGTCAGCCTGTGGGCAATGCCCTGGTTTTCTCCTTACCTGCTGGGTCATCTGCTTCCTCTTGTTTCTTTCCATTTTGTCTTTCTGAGACAGGTACTTACTCTGTGGCTTAGGCTGGACTGGAATTTATATAGCCCAGACTGGCTTCAAACTCACAACCTTTCTGCCTCCGTCTCCTGAGTTCTGGGATTACAGGTGGTGGATACTGCCACATATAGCTTGGTTTTATTTAATTTTTTGTTGTTGTTGTTTTTTTTTGTTGTTGTTTTTTTGAGACAGGGTTTCTCTATGGCTTTGGAGGCTGACCTGGAACTAGCTCTTGTAGACCAGGCTGGTCTCAAACTCACAGAGATCCACCTGCCTCTGCCTCCCAAGTACTGGGATTAAAGGCATGTGCCACCAATTGGCTTCAGATGAGCTGGTTTTAAGAAAAGATATTTATCTATTTACTTAATGCTTGCTCGAGGGGGTGTGTGTGTGTGTGTGTGTGTGTGTGTGTGTGTGTGTGTGTGTGTGTGTGTGTGTCCCCATGGAAGCCAGAAGAGGAGTCAGATGCTGTGGAGTTGGAGTTACAGGCTTTTGTGAGCTCTCTGATGTTGGTGCTGTGGTCTGAACTCTGGTCCTCATGACTGAGTGGCAAGTGCTCTTTGCTGATGAGCTGTCTCTCCAGTCCCAGATTAACTTTTTGAAACATGACAATTCCTTAGGTTGCCTTTTCAGTCTGTTGTTTGCTTTGCTCTTCAGTGATTCTGGTTTAGTACATGCTTCTTGTCTACTTTTATATTGGTTGCCTGTGACTTTTGGTGTTATACATATGAAATCATCACCACAAACAAGGACATACTATATACCACGTGGGATGTACCCCTAAGTGCTAAGATGTTTCAACATATGGAAGTCAGAAGTGTGATACAATATATGAGTGGAATAAAGGATTAAAAAACCACATGCTCAGGGATGGAGAGATGGCTTAGCCTTCAAAAGTGATTCCTAATCTTGCAGAAGACCCAGTTTTGATTCCCAGCACCCACATTGGGCAAAACTGCTGTAACTCCCGCTCCAGAGGAATCTAATGTTTTCCTCTGGCTTCCATGGAAATCTCTCCAACCATCCCCCCTGTTAGGAGCCGGTGCGTATGTAAGGAGCCGTTGGAAGCTGTGCGCATGCTCAATGGGTAACTTTGTAACTCTCCAGCCCTTAGTCTCCGCCCCTCCCATGACATCATATGGTTCGATCAGCTGACGTCACATGGTCCGAGGGCTTCAGCCAGTCAGAATGTAACACTTCTGAGGCGACGGTTGCCAGCCTATATAAGGAGGGGTTTTTGGGTGTTCAGGGTCTCCATTTGAAAGAC